TAAACTATTAATATTTAAGTTTATTAGAACTTGTAATATGAAACAAAATACATAATAGTGCCGAGAAATTATGTCACGTACACGAAGTTAGCAACTATCACATTGTTATGGCACAATAACACTTATAAGTATAAGTAACCATTTTAAAGTGAGAAAAAAGATATGTACAAAAATTGGACAGCTGGAAGCATACTTTGAGGTTATAACTTACGCGCCTGTGTGCAAGCATACGTGCCACACAAGCCACTTACACGCATACAAGAATCGCATACATCTCACTCTCACTTATAGGTACCAGCGGCGCGCGGATGCACACAACAAAAGCCCAACTGACAAGGCGTAAACAAAAGAAAAAGCAACCATCTGTGAAAAATTTTTCGGTTGGAATAGCTGAGAAACCCAAAGAAGGTATCCTGGATACGTGTATTTCATATTGACGCGAAAAAATGCGAATAGCGTCGTGATGAAAAATTGTCAATATTACCTCCGCGAACGCGGTTTTGCCACCCGTGTTTTCTTCTCGCGATTTTTCGTTTTTTCACACTTCTTTTAGCATGATTTTAGTTCTGAGCACAGTATTTTACTCCTTTACAAACGGAAACAACATACATGAAGTACATAAGAGGAAAAATTCTACTTAAAATAATAAACTTCTCTGGCACACGACAGTTCCATGTACGCGTTACACTATTCGGTGGCAACGGCCATCATGTATTTGTCAAGGCTGCCATTAGCACAAGTCTATAAAATCCCAGAGCTTTTACCATTGGCGACACCTCGGTTATGGTACTGTAACTTTTTGCAGCACCCATTTAGCAAAATCTATATCCTGATTGGCCAATGTTTTACTTATAACCAATCAGTGAATAGAAAGTATTAGTGATCTTAATATGTTATATCTTTTTAAAGATTTTAAACAAAACAGATTTGCTAAATACATTTACTTAATTATGTCATAAGTACTTAATAAATTTAATAACAGATGTATCTAGAAGTATTCTGTTTTAAAACAAACTTGTAAATTTTTATTAATAGGCGGTTTTAAAAATATTACTTAATAAAATATTTACTGCTATGCTATGTTTTATGTACATAATATGTATAAAAAATATATATATACATATGCACATATGATTATGTGTATTTTATTTGCAGATATTTTTGAACTGAATTCGTAATGAAATAAGTATTGTCATATACATGTATTCTTTTATTTTAAATAACAAAAAATTGTATAAACAACATAATCTTGTAATAAAACAGTAATTTGAATTTAATTTGCTTAGAAAAATGTCACTATTGAAAAACATTCTAATTTATTAATTTTCTTACAAATTAGAACTGTAATTTGTTATTATAATTAATTATAAACCATAGTCTGAATTAATGGATCCAACTACATATGCTACAACTGTTGCATGATCTAATTTTCCAGGAATCATGGAAACCTTGTCCAAAGTTTTTATTCGTCGAGTTCTCTGCTCTTGTTTGGAAAGTTGAATTAATTGGCCATCTTTATTTTGTGCATAATATAAATCTGTATCTTCCAATATTCGTCTTTTAGCGGCAGTTATGCGTACCTTATTATGTGTAAAAATTAAACTTATGTTAGTACTTATATTGGCATTCTATTTTATTATGTTACATATCTGTGTAACATATTTTAGTTCAATTTTTTATTCATTAAAAAATGAACAAAATCATGCAGTCATGCACATTGTTTTACAGATTTTATTATTATATATAATTTTAGATAACTTACTGCAAAATCCAAGAGAAGTTCACAAAGATGTTTGGCACTGTTACATGGTGGGCCTTCTCCAGATACACCTCTTCTTAATAAATCTTCCATCCTAAGAAGTGTGAGCTCATGTCTTTGATATGCTTCAACTATTGGCAAATTAGATTTATTTTTATTACTGTTGCCAGATTCCGCATGTCTCAAGTTTTCCGCTGACTTTCGACGTGTTTTTGATCTTCCTTCAGTGTGATTTTTTACATTTGAATCAGGTACAGAATTGTGACATGGTAAGATAGCAAATTTTCCAACTACAGGATCAAAATTGTCAGAAATTCCATCACTAGTTAAGAATACAATATCCCCTTTCTCAACTTCTGTCATTGCAAGTGTCAAGTTATTCAATTCCGGATTAGACCCATCCACAGGACCTAAAGCTCCAAGAGCATCACGCATATCGCGCATGCAATGGATATCATGAGATCCTCTTGTTATTTCTCTTACTCCAGTTTTCCTAGCAGTGTCAATTATTTGTATCTTAAATTATATTTTACTTATTATTCTAACTTTAAAATTTTTTTTTATATTACCTTGAATACACATAAGCTAAACTGTCACCCACATTGCAGGTACATGCCATATATTTATTTTGTCCTGTATTAGAATCAGAATTTGGCAATGGGAGAATTACACACACAGTTAATGTTGTAAGCATTCCTTGTTCTTGCAAAATTAATGAATGTGCAGCATGGAATGAACAAAGTAGTGCTATAAAAACATCTTTCGTTGTAGTTATTTCTCTATTAAGTGAAGGACAAAAAAGTGCTTTATTTAAATATTCCATACTGCCATGTACTGCAGATCTGGCTGCAATACTTGCTTTGGTACCTAATAATTTCATTTTATTAGATAACATACATATATGAACATATTCTTATATTTCTATTTAATGTTATCTGAAATAATGTACTATTTTCTATTAGCATACCCCAATTAACACCATCAGCAAGTGCTAAAATAGCTGAATTTGATCTTGCTACAATACCAAAACAATCTGCTATTGGTTCTCCATTATTAGTATTATTTGTAGGATTTTTCTCATATAATGTAGTAGCAATTCCATAAGTCATTTCATGAGGGTTAAACCAATCAGCAATACCAGCAACTGTAGGAGTTGTTGTTGTTGATGCTAATAAAAATCATTGTTTAAATACATTTTTTTATTACTTTGTAAATTAATATACTATAATAACACATACTGTTCCTATATTGCTCTCCTTGATCTAACATATCAATGTAGTCTATATCAATATCATTAATACTTAAATGTCTTTGTTGTACATTAACACTTGTAAGTCCATTATCTGGACCAGTATAGGCATTAACTACATCTCTATCCTCTTGAAAATTTCCAAGCTGTCTAACTGGTATTTCTTCTGGATTTCTACCATGTAATATTACTGGTCCTTCTTGTTTTATTTCCAAACTGAAGATATAAACCATATTTCATTATTTATTTTAGATATTAATAAATAAAAACTATATTAAAAGAATTATTACCCATCAAGATATCGTGTAATAAAACAACCACTTGTAAAATCTTGTGTTAATGACCTAGGACTACGTAAAGTTTGTTCTCCTTGACCTATATTTTCTACAGCTCCAGCCAAATTACTAATAGACAGTTGTCGCATAAAACCAGCAACTTTTTTTCGCAAACTTGGCATTCTTTTATGACATTAAATTTAAATGCAAGTGAAATGATTAATGCCACATATCATATAGCATGGCGTTATACAATAATTGACATATATCAGTAGACTTAAACCATGGTTTTATATTGGCTGCTTAAACCTTGAAAACAATGAAATTTATTGAATACTTATAAATCATGTATTCCAAAAGATTTAAGAATCTATATTTATATTTATTTATATCTATATACATGAAATCCAATATAACAATGCAAATAATTATGTTATTAAATATAATACGACTTCTAAAATTGAAAATTTCTATTTTAAATCAGTTCCTTTGATATCCTGTATTCTTTTAATTATAGGATCAAACATTATTGTTTGATGTTATGTAATGTAAAATAGTTGTTAGATTCACTACAAATAAACACTTTTAGACAATCTTTATGTAAACATTACAATCATACCTAGAAAAAGTTCTTATTATATAGAAGTGAAATCGTAATACATACTGAAAAGCACATCGTTTTCCACTTTACCGCCATATTGATAGTGTGTCAATAACCGATAAATTCCTTTACCAGTAAACTTTATACTCTGCTATGTTTTCAAAAACGAAGAAATTTCTGTAATTAATAAGAAATATTCTAATTTTTGCCTATAAATATTTTTCGCGAAATAAATATTTCCGATAAAGACAATAAAAATGTTAATTTTTCCTAATATTGAGGTATGTATGTTCAAAATCATCATAAATTACATAAAATAACTTTTAAAATTAATTTGAATGAATATATTATGGTTGATATTATTAATTTTTTATTATATCATTGCATTTGCTAATCATATTCACATGCTTAACAATATGCATTTATGTCATACTTTTTAATCTGTTTTGACATGTAGTAAGTCAATATGGCGTTCTCTCCACAGGTGAGAGACTACAATTTTCTGTAGTTGTTTTTGTAATTGGGTTTTAGTGTTGTTTACAGAAAAGTTTATATAAAAATTTCTTTGTTTTTCAAAAATATCACATTTGTGTAATAAAATTTGGTGTATTTTATAAACAACTTTTTAATTTTCATAACTTTCTTCCAATACGCGTTATACGCAATGTGCTTAGACGCATAGTGACACAAATATTTATTTCATTCTATGGACTTATCATTACGTAATCATTATTTAAAATTCTGTCATTACGTTAGAAATAAAGTTATGTGTATAATTTTTTTTCGACATTTCCTATAGATATCAACACGTACATACTTATAAATCATTTTTTAAATGAGACAAGTATAGCATGTTTTTAATATTTTGTTATCATAAGAATATTAAATTGCACGTGATTCAGTTTTTGAATGACAAGTGTATTAATTTTTATAAAAATTAGTGTATTTCATTGTATAGTATGTATGTTTAATATTAGAAATATTCAGTTTTAAACATATTGTATCAGATGTATAGATATATATGTATATGTTGTAACAGATTCCTTGAAATAAATATGAAAGAATAAAATGTTAGACTATTTAAAATAATCAACTATTTAAAAAGCTATAGAGAAAATAAAAGAAGAATATTTGTGTGTAAATAAGAATATAAAATGTATGAATCTCCGAAGAGCCTTCTTGAGGTTTGCATTGATTTTATTTGCAACAATGTTTTGGGTTTGTGTGACGTACGTTTTGGTGATATGGAAGAACACTCCCTTAATGCATTGGATATAACTACTTTTAGTAAGTATTAATTGTTATCGTTTAAAGAAATATTTATTCAATTATTTTGTATTTTAGTTATATTTCACATTTTTCTTAAATGAATTTAAATATTCCATTGTTAGAAAAGATTATTTTAATGTAACAATTTGTTCTAAAGTATAAAACTTTTAGATCAGCAAGTTCATTTTTCAATAAGAGTAATAATATAGATATTTTTGATCTAATAACAGGTAAGGCATCTAATGATGGGTCATCAAGTTCAGCAATAAGACTCAGTTTTAGATATCCAGATGCCTTTTTACCAGCTGAAGTCTCAGAACAGTTATTGGCTAATCTTTGTGAAAAGAAAACATTATCAGACCTAACAATTACACTTTTTAATTCAAAATCAACCAGATTAAGGTATTTTATTTCATATTTTAAATACAATAATTTGATTACAATATAAATTGTATATAAAATTACTGCTAAGATTAATACTTATTACCTTTTATTATTATTTATAGACATGTAAGATTAAAAGATGCATCTGCATTATCAGCAAAAGGTTTAAAAGTTTTAAAACAACATAAAGTGGTAGATCTGATGGTACATGGATCAAAAATAACTGCTAGAGATTTAATAAGCTGTTTAGGTGACTGGAGTCTACAAAATCTTAGATCATTAAGTGTAGCAAAAGGAAGTTTAATGGATTGTTCACGGTATTTAATACAATTAATTATCTTTATAAATATAATTAAATATTTCATATGTGTATGTAATGCATAAATTTAATTATTTTTGTTATATAATTATATAATTTATATAATAAAATTAATAAGATATAATAAATTTTTTATAGTATTTATATAAATATATATAAAAATTTCATAACAGGTATTGTGCAGTGACAACATTATGTAAATTAAGATCACTGCACACATTAGATGTATCAGGTACAGAATTTAATAAACATGGTTTGGAGATAGTAGTCGAGGATCTTCCCCTTTTAGAAAGTTTAGATATTTCATGTACAAAGATTGGTGATATAGAACCATTAACAAAGTGTAAAAATCGTTTAAAGACACTTCATATGTATAATTTAAAGATAAATGAAGAGGCAGATATAATCTCAGTATTATTGGAGCTGAATGAATTAAGAAATTTAGATATTTCAGATGAAAAGCATACACATGCTCTTAACTGTGTATTGAAATCTGAAAAGCCAAAAATAACAGATTTTTTAAAAGCTGTACATTGTATGCCATATCTAACTAGTTTAGATTTATCTGGTAATTATAGTATAATGCATTACTCTTATTCAGTTCTATATGTATAAAATCAATTTTACAATTTTTTAAAATATTTAATATAGGTAAGGGTGATATAGATCCAAAAAATTTAAAAGAATTTATTAAAGCTCATCCATATTTAAGGTTTTTGGGACTAGTAAGTACAGATGCTTGTTATGATGACAGCTTAACAAATCCAGCAGATGAATATTATAGGCCTGAACTTATTGTAAGTATTAAAATGTTATATGGAAAAGTAATTATTAATTATAAGTATATACTGATATAATATCTATGGTAATAAAATCATTTTAAAGAATGACTTCTTAAGATAATTGTCACAAACAAAATATTTTAATTTTTATTTTATATGTTATTTTATACAATAATTTTGTTTAACGACAATTAATATTTCTATTTTATTCTTTCAAAATGTGTAAATTATAATTATATAAGTAGAAAAATATTTGAAAATACTATTTAGGTTACTGGTACAGCAACAGAGTCACAAATTTTGGAAGGTCTTAGAAGGTATACATGCAGACCAGTTTATCTTGAAAAGTGTTTATTTAATTTATTCCGTTTAACACACAACTTTCTTGAATCACGAATTGATATAATAAAGTTAGTATTACCCGCAATGAGAGAATATCCCCAGGAAGTACATGTACAAGTGCCATGTACTGCATGTCTTTATAATCTCACTAAAGGTGAATTTTCCATCATGATTCACCCATCAATTCTTAAACAAGTTGTTGAACTAACAATGATAGCAATGGAATTTTATCCAACTAACTATCGACTTCAGATGAATACATTATTAATTTTATGTAGTGATAGAATCCTACAGGAAATTAATTTTGACAAGTACAGGTAAATAAAATTTATAAAAATATATTGCTTATTTTAAAAATTAAAAATACATATAACAAGTATGATATTTTTATTATTTTATTATAATTTGTTTAATTTTATTTTTTTTGCTAATGTATAATTATATCAATTAAATCTATAACATTCTACAATTCAATCATTTTTCATTTATATAGATGTGCAAGATTAGTATTAAATTCTTTATTAATTTTCAATGAACCATCAATGAATCGTATGTCTGTTGCTATTTGCTCTATACTGGCAGCAAAAATATCAACAAGGGAAACATCTATGCTTGGTGCACAACCTCACTATATTGCTAAATTACTAGCAATGGTTAGGGCTAAAGTAGCATCTAAATCAGTAGATACCACAATGAAATTTACATTAAGTGCTCTGTGGAATTTAACTGACGAAAGTGCTACAACATGTGAAGTTTTTCTAGATGAAGGTGGAATGGAGTTATTTCTTAATGTATTAAAAAGTTTTCAAGGGCAGTTTAGTGTTGAGACTAAAGTACTTGGTTCATTAAACAATATAGCAGAGGTTTGTGATATAATTAATCATGTTATAAATATAGCAAATTTATTTGAAATATTTTTTGCCATTGTTGTATAAGCTATTAGTATTTGATTAATTTAATTTTAGGTGGTCCATTTAAGACCAAGACTTATGCAACCCAGGTTCATCTCCATGCTTTCTATGTTACTGACATCTGTCCACATTGATGTATCTTATTTCGCAGCAGGTATTGCTGCACATTTGCTTAGCGATGGTTTGAGTGCATGGGCTACAATATCTTCAGTACCAAGTAGAGAAGAATTATTAGCACTATTAGCTCATACTATAACACATTGGCAAACTCCTCAAGGAGAAATGGTTGCATATAGAAGTTTCTTCCCATTTCTCCCACTTTTGCGTTGTTCAGATGCATATCCTGTTCAACTCTGGGCAGTTTGGGCAATACATCATGTGTGCACAAAAAATCGTAAGTAGCTTCTTATACATGGAATGTAATTTCTTTGAACTAATATATATTAAGTAATGTAATATTAAACTCTAAATTGTACATATTTGATCATATTAATAACAAAAATGATTATCTATATAATATTTTACATTTATTATATTATTATAATTTTATAGCAAAACGTTACTGCAGTATCTTAGTCAGGGAAATTGGAGTTGAGATGTTAAAATATTTGGAGAATACGCATACAGAGCATACAACAAAACCAAACATACAAAGTCTATGCCGATCAATTCTTGAAACACTTGAATTAAATTCTTAATGATCACTGTTGCCTTCCAAAACAAAATTTGCGTACCATAAACTTGGTATACTAGTCAATGTTAATCTCAATGCAATCTTATATCCTGTTCTTTAGACCAAATAATTAAAACTATTACATGAACATGGATATTTATCAAAAAAGGACTGAAATGAAGTAAATCCAGGATATTGCTATTAAATTCTGTAGACTTGAATTGAAGACCTGAATTATAAAAAAATAGTGGTGTATCATAAAATATATTATACATAGATCTCATACTAAAAGGTATGTTGAATATATATAGTATAAGTTACATTTAAAACCTGATTATTACAAAAAGAATATAATTAAATGTTTAAAGATATGCATTGAGCTTAGAAGAAATAAATTTTTAACGTTCTAATATTCTGATTATATTTTTTAATTGTTAATTACATTACTGTGTCCAATATTTGTGTGTTTTAAAGTTGAGTAATTACTTAAAAAAGAAAAAAAAAAAATAATTTAATAAATAAGTAATAATATTTAGAGAACTAATTTAATTATTTGTTATAAACCATTTGAAATCATAAAATTTAAAAATATAATATTTTAAGTTCTGGTCTAATAAATTCAATAATTAAGTATATGTTGTTGCAAGATTTATGATTTATTGTCATGGTTAAAGTTTTCTCATTTTTGCTGAAATTAGGTGCCTAATGTATGTACCTCTTGTGGCCATTAAAAGTACTAATAATGTTAAAAATGTTATTTAAAATTTGTACACATCATTCACAAATGAATGTTATTGATATTAATATTGTGAACAAAATTGTAATTAGATTAGGATCTTATAAATATGATATGCTTCAAAAACATAATTTGTTTCCATTATTATGTAGTCGTTAAAAAGTACAGTAGTAAATATTTTGTTGTTGTATTTTTAATATTTTGAGTTCAGGTCTTCAATTTTTTTCTGTTACATCCTACTTAAACCTTTCTATTACTTGAAAATTTTGTAGAGATTAATTGTGCATTTATATGCCTTCAGAGATATAAGGAAATACAAATCTCTAATAAAACAAATATAATGATATTCTGATTATATCTGATCTGATTATTAAAATATTATTAATTTGTATGAATAAATTTATACATTTGATAATATTAATTAAAATGTAAAAATGTCGATTTAAATACTACTGAATATTAATAAACGCAAATCATTAATCCTTTGAAGTTAATTTTATTGTATCTATTCTTTATAATAACATTAACATTAATGTATATAAGTCCAATAATATACGCAGTATGCGATTTTTAAGCCAAGAAAATTTTTATTGACCACCCAATCATGTTACATTTATATATTACACTTATATGTTAATTATTTTTTCTTTTCTTTTCTTTCTTTCTTTCTTTTTCTTAATGGAACGTAAAAATTGTTCATGAAATTTGTATGATTATCACTCAATTGATGCTGATGCTGCACTGCACCTGCAAAATACTTAGCGACATGGAAGTAACGTTACGAAATGTGGTTCGATTATTAATATGTGGAAACTTGGCTCTCCTCCTAACATCATAGCACAGTGGATTAATAGTTCAAAAACATTTTACACGCATCTTACAAATTAGTAGCAATATGTTTGAGATAAAATTGAGGATGTATAGTTAGTAATAAATAAATGAAAGTTGCACATATTAATATGAATAAATCATATTTTTCTCTTACCTTTTTTTGTAGAAGTTATAACAATCTTTAATTTTCGCAACTTTCACTTACTGTGCATACAAAAGTTACTATAAATTATAGTAATATGGTATTACTCTAGATATTTACATTGCAGTTCAATTTTTTTCATTTGAGACCTAAAGTATAGTTTCAAAGTATAAGTTTATATAATGGAAAAATGCGAAATTATTAAACAAACACTACTAGAGAGTTATTACAAATATATTAAAACTATATTGTAATAACAATACTTAAATACATCATGAACTTCATTTTTTAGCCATAATTATATCAGCCTTTATATTATACCAAAAATATTTCTAAAATTATTATTGCTATATTATAATTTATTAAAATCATTTTCTAAATCGCTAATGTATTTCTCCCAATATATATTGTGTATACTACAAAAATTGTTCTCTTTGTGTACAATTTAATATTATCTTAACATATTTAATACTATTATCATCATTTTTATTAACAGTCACAATTATATTTATGTAATTTAAAATTGATGACCTTTTTATATATCATGTTAATTTGTTTTAAGTAGGAAAAAATCTCATTTTAAATGCACTATTTATATTAAACTCAATAAAAATTTGAATAAATAACAGAAACACGTGAGCTTTGCTATAAATCATAATATTATAAAAAGCAGATTACATTTTAGGAAATATTCTACTGTAATTATTAAAAAATTAGTATTTAAATTGTTCTGAATTAAAAAAAACAATTACAAAGAGAAAAATAATATAAGTTACAGACATCTTACAATTATTTAGGTATGCATAAAAAGGAATGACATTTTTTATTTTGATATAACTCAAGATACAAACGTAAATTTTTTCAAAATGCATAACAGATTAACGATTACATTTTTTGTGCTAAAATAGTATTTAATATTTATAGAGTTATATATTTATCTACATATCCATATATATAAATTTGCGTGTGCACGAGTATATGTGCGTGCGGTATGCACATGTGCGCGCACACACACATTCACTGTATTTTTTATACATTAATATAATGTTACTAACATCCCAATGTTTCATATATTTTTGTAATCTAAATAAACTGAAGATCTTGGAAACTAATAAAGGCTGATACTACAGAATTAATTGGATTTCACTGTAAATTATGTAAAAACTTAATTGAACTGCAATTGCAAATTATCGCTGATCTACATTTGTAATTTTTATATGAAGATTTATTAAATCAAATATGATTAATTGTGCCCATCTTTGTCCAATCTTTTTTTTTTTCTTTTGACATGAGGTTTTTTCTTTCTCTTTTTTTTCCCATCGTATCAGTTTTTTTTTCTGTGGACATATCATAAGAATTTACTTAAACACCTTAGCTACATGATAGTGTAATGCGTGATCATAAAAATATGTAAGTTTTGTGTAACCTATAAATAAGATATGCACAAAAACTTACAATATCTAATTTTATAATTCACGTGGCCATACTCTATAATGAATACCACATATTTGTGTAAAAATAACACAAAATAAAACATTCATTACTGCAAATTATTTGAAAATAGCAAATTATTGTATAATTATATTTTTTTTGTAAATTAGAGTAGCATTAAAACATAAAATTATATTCATATTAAATATAGTGTTCTATTTTAAATAACATTTAAAATATGGCCAGGTGTTAAGGTTGAATACAAATTTAGAGCACGAGGTATAGCATTTCCTAAGAAAGCTAATGTATCTAGATATGAATTTTGCAATATCCACTATAAAAAATTGATGGATACCTTTTAATATTTTTAATTTTGAATTATTAGCATCATAAATTTACAATTTTTTAAGTTAAATCATATAGATACATCAGAGTATTAAAACAAGGATCTAATACATACAATAATTGTCACTGGAAAAATAATAATTTTACATTCATTCAGGAATGGCTAGTGAATGTTACGATTTATTTTTTTCATCATTTATCTTATTTATAATTCTGCAATAATATCACGTCGAAGATTTATTACTTCACCAGCATTTCCTATAAATGCGTTGTTCTATGATACATACCATGAGTGTTCAAACAGAAAATCTTTAATGTTATAGTATAGTTATGCAATACAAAATAGATTAAAAATATCTTGCTTCTAACGAATATAATTATTTATATGTATAAAAATTTATTATGCTTTCACTGGATATTTTATGTTTGAACGATCACAGGAAGAAAATAGCTCATAAACCACAATAATATAAAAACTTACCTTAATTTGTAAAATTCCAGTACAATGCATTAAAACGGTCAATACGGCATGTAGTATCCTCGCCTGTAGCTCCTATGCAGAAAATATATTACAAAAAGAAACTATTTAGAATTAATGATTTTAAAAATTAATATATAATTTTACAATATACCTAGATCGCCTTATAGGTCTATATCCAAAATATGCACTACCACGTATGATTCCTCTGGCTATACCTCGGTAGCCTCGTGCTCCTCGTGGTCCCCTAAAAATTCATGCATGTTGTATTTAGTGCTCCTAAGTGGTACTACACATAGAATACATAGAAATATTTTATATGTAACATATTTTTACTATACCTATTTGTCACTGACAACCCTGGTCTATTTGTTCTTTTAGGCAATACTTTAATTTGACGTCCTCTAAACATAGTTTCATCCAAAGCCATAGCTGTTTGAACTGAATCACGCTCTGCAAATTCTATGTAAGCAAAACCTTTTGGGTGTCCATCAAATTTATTGCACAAAATTGTTACTCTGTTAATGCTACCACAGCCATGAAAATGTTGTTCTAATTCTTCTGCTGTGGCACCATAATCAACCTTAAATTTTTTGCAGGTAATACATATTAATTAATTAAGAAATATTAATCAATTGATTAACAATTTAAATAAAATGTATAACTTACATTACCAACATAAATGGATCTATTATCAACTTCCATTTTATCCTCGAGAGACATATTTAATGGACTTGCTAAAAATTTTGAAAAATATGTATTAATCATTCATAAAAGATCATTATTTTTTAATAGTACATTGAAATTAATATAACATATAACTTACTTATTCCAGGTGGACTACCCATATTCATCTGTTTGTCCACTTCAGATTGTAATTGTTTTAATTTTTCTGCTTCTTCTTCCATTTCTCTAACACGTGCTTTAATAGCCTCTAATTCCTATAAAAAAAAAAAAAAGAAAGAATGAAAATATAATAAATATCGAACAAAGCAAAAAACATCATAGAAAATTTTATGACATATGTTCATTTATTTATGATAATAAAATAGAACAAAATACCGGATCATCAATATTTGCTTCATTTAATTCACGTTTTACACCATCACACTGCATAATGACATCTCCATCTTGACCATTTTCGAGTCCATCTAGACCATCAATATGATCAGCAGCTAAAAGATCCGATTCAGACATTTCTGCAAGTACAAGATACTATAGTTATATAGACATATGAAGATATAAATGTACATATAAAACATAAAAATACTAATAACAAAATATAAGCATTATTATCAAATATCAGATCATGTATCACCAAAATTGAAATTAATATTAAGCGAATGTTAAAGTACAAATTATTAAAAAGAGATGTATAAAATATTCTATCATGTAAAAAATATATTGTGCAGCCAAGAAATAATTATGATCTGAAAATGCATTTATAGTATCTAAAAATTATTCAAATTAGCAATAAAACTTATTAAAATTGTTTCTAATATTGTATAATATAAAAAATTATATTATTTTCCTTAAATTAATGTCATTATAACATACTTTCTAATGTTATGATATGTAAAGCAGCTAAACCTAATTTCAGTAACAATATAATTTCGTAAAAACAATACTAATAATGTGCATTATAACAAATTATACGTTCGCAATCATTATAAGATATAAATAATATTAATACTTATTATTGTCAATTACACGAAAAAATATAACGTACGTGTATACCTTCAGACGTTTTTAATATCTAAAATAACAATTTTATGATAAATTTAATAATTATTTGCAATCAACACTTCACAGTTCTATAAACTCACTAAACGAGATTGACGCTACTACTGAACAAGGTGAAGAAAATTTAAGGTTTACATAAATTAGAAAATCGCCTTAACATGCATCCTATTTATGATTGGTCGCAATGAAATATAGGATTTTAATGTAATTGGTTACTTAAACGAATAACATATTTTCGCGTACACAAATATTTAACAATTTTATAAAATCCTCTTACTAAAAAAGTAAAATTAATTTTGAAAGAAACGATATTGCTTCTTTCTACGTGAAACAACTTTCATTAACCTTTCTGTATAAGAAATAATATTTTTACTAATACTTTATATAGTATTTTAATGAAGTACTATTATAGTACTGTTGGTACTAGGTGTTTGTAGTACTTCTATAGAGAGCTGTAAAAGAATAACGCTATGTCTATTTCAATGTTAAATAAAAATTACAGTTAAAATATATATGATTTATAAAATTATCTAAAATCTTGTAATGTTAATATTTAATAATTCAGTTTAAAATTATAAACAAAAAATGTGTAAAACAAATCGTAAACCAAAAATAATTGTTTTTGATCTAGGTTACAAATTATATTCTTTCTTCTTAATTATCTTTTTTTACATAAAATATTATTTATTTACTTTTTTATTATGTATGCTAGTTATAAAATGCATTAAACAGTAATTTAATTATATTTTAGATTATACTTTATGGCCATTTTGGGTTGATACTCATGTATCTCCTCCTTTTAAAAAGTCAGTTTTAAAACAATATAATTTTAATATCTTATAATTGTTGAGAGAAAAATTATTATTGAATTTGTTTAAGGAAAGGAAATACTGTGATAGACTCCCATAATAAAATTATAAAATATTACAAAGAAGTACCTGATGTTTTAAAATGTTTATATGAAGAAGGATATGAACTTGGTGTTGCATCTCGTACCTCAGAGATAAGCGGTGCAAATCAATTATTAAATTTATTTAATTGGGATAAATATTTTAAATATAAAGAAATTTATCCTGGAATTAAAGTAACTCATTTTTCTAAGTAAGTTTCAATAAAATTTAATTCAAAATACAATTTTACATACTCGTTAATTTTTATTTCTATATAGTATTATTTATTTTTGTTTTCTTAATAAATATTACTAATAAATTTTTTTTTCAGAATTCAAAAAGCATCAGGTATTGATTATAAAGATATGATGTTTTTTGACGATGAACACAGAAATATTATTGATGTAGGTAAACTTGGTGTTACTTGTATATTTGTTAAAGAAGGTATAACACGTACTCTTGTAGAAGATTCCATTAAAAATTTTTAATGTTTCTGATATTAAATAATTGTATGTACCAAATAAAATTTTATTTTTAATTTAAATATATGTTTTATTATTATTCATCATTATTATTTATGTAAATATTAAAATGTAAGCGATTTAAATTGTTAAAAAGTATTGTATTTTATCAATTGCAAAAATTCATTATTTATACTTAATAATAAGTTTACATTTTAAATATTTAAATTTAATTAATCATTGTTAAGTAATATTGCAAAGGACTATTAATAATAGTATTATTTTTATTATTTTGATTTATCATTTTAAAAAATTCAGCACAAGCAGTTTGAGGTCTTTGAGAAGATATGATTTTCAATAGTTTTACTACGTGGTCATTTGATAATGATAAATATAAAAGACTTTTTAAAGTATCCACATCAAAACTTTTAAATGGGCAACCTCCTTCATATGCAGAATTTGATGGACTTGTCTAATAACACAATAAAATAAATGAGTTTAAATTAAATATAGAAATTTCATAATATAAATTGATACTTACACACATCAATTCGCAAGTAGGTGACTTATAAGTTTTTTTAGATCCTTCTAAGCCATAAAAGTGTCTTATACTGTATATGAATTTTCGTTCATTTGATTGCCAATTATGGGAGCAAATAGAAGAACAGGAATGAGGTTTAGAATATTCTTCTTTCCAATAACTTATAGCATCTTCTAATTTCATTCCACTATCTTTCAAAAACAAACTATAATATAAACGAGCATAATGACTAAGCCTGTGCGTCTTTCTTAGTTTTGTGTGCAAGTGTTGCATACAAAGTGGAAAATTTTTTACTTCTGTATCTATGTTTTCTTTAGTTATGTATCCATATTTGGTAGATATTTGATGATTTTCTTTAAATATTATAGTATAAATTTTGTGATATAAATAATTGAATCTAATATCTTGGTTTATAGTATGCTGTGCTTTTGATTTCATGTTTATTACTTCCTTAGTCATATAAGTGCAAAACAATGATTTTAATATTTTTTTCCATTTGAAACAATATATGATAGCATATCCTGCATTCAAGTCTAATTCTCTTTTTTTTATTAAATCTGGTACTACTTCATATCGTACTTGAAAAATTAATATTAAAATAATTTTTAAATATTTGAATTATTAAAATACATTGATTTGTTTATACACATTTACATATACGTACCTTTGGTTTTAAAAAGATTACAATTCTTTATATGATTTTTTGACACAAGATGTTTGAAGACAAATGGTTTTGAGAAAAAGCTACACACATCGATTAATGTTTCACTAATCAATTTCTTTTTATCCGTATGTTCTCTTAATTGATACAAAATACTTTTAAATAATCTATATAATTGTCTAGGTAAAATATAATCCAACCTACTTTGAAATAATAATGCTTCTCTGATAATCCAATAATTATATAACTGTTCTGACATAGATACTAATAACCTAGAATAATTATAATTATTTATAGTTATTAAAACATTAAATGACATAGAAGAATATAAATTTTCTGAATTGAAATGAACAACAATTGCTTGAAACTTGATAGTTATTGTAATTATTTCAATAAAAACTTACCGCAATATAAAATGTCCGATTTTGTCATATGCTGAATTTTCTAACAGATATTCAAAGTTACCAGTGAAATTGTGAGCTTTACCTTCATATAATAATTGCAAATATTCTAACCTATTAAAAACGCATTTCTCTAAAATATGAAATGATACTTGTCCTGTGGGTATTTTAATATAGAACATCTTTTGAATATGTAATTTTTTATACGTATTACTATTTTTGTATTTTAATAAGAATTTTGCATTCTAATAGAATGTATAATATTGTACTATTACAATTAGTTATGCTTTAGTGATTAAGTTCAAATGTCATACATAAATTTGTTTATTATGGTTACTATTCTTTTAATTTATTCAAAATATTTTTGTTATTTATTTGCATTATGAGTAAATAAATAGATTATAATTACATTCTTATAGTTATTTTGTCAATTAGATTTAAGAAAAAATTGCATTTTAGTAGTGTGGGTAAACATTTTGCAGTCTTTTTATCATTATTGAATTTAAATATTTCGAAATATTTATCGATATTAAAATACATTTTTTAATTTACTACATAGTATTTATTTGTATAAAAACATACTTTTCATAATAACCGATTACACAACGTGTAGGCATGAGAACACTTTACTCTTATAGGTGGAATTAATCAATGATAAAAATCGTATCTCAAATTCAAAACTGTCGAAAAAATTTTAACTTTCTCTATAATCTGTAATATTCATTAGGTGATTCTTTGTAGAATTTACTTTCCTGAACACGAATTTGTAATCGAAATTGTTCCATGAAAATTGCATAAGAATGTTGAACAAAGTACGAGCTTCTCGATACATTTGCAAAAGTTCATGAATTAATTATAGAAACTTCGCAATTTGTTAATTTTACGCTGTATCAATTTTCACTACCGGAGCTTCCCTGTCTTTTTCTAATCGTTTCCTGTCCTCCCCATTCGCATGTGGTATCGGCAAATTCCATGTCATCTGTGATCCGTTTACTGAACCTGAGCTTCGATTCAAAATCATAGATGGCGCTGATTGCAATTTAATAGATAACTAACTCTGGTTATGTGCTCCGAATATATTTTAATAAATCAAATCGGCAGTGGAAAATTCACTAATTAATCAATATCTGTGATTAATTTATGAACTTTTATAATTGCATCGTAAAGCCAGATCCTTCAAAAACTTTCCAATATATTTTTCGATATAAATTTGTCCCTAATTAATTAATTATTAATAATTATTCTACGAAATGTTTGAATTATTGCCGAAGATCGCCGAAGACGCCATTGGTTTTTCATTAATTACTATCCTTTACGCAATTAATTTATGAATCTTTATGCACTCATTATAAAGACAATATTCTTGCAAGTCTTCTCATATCACTTTTGTTCACATTTTGATTCTAGTTTCGGTGAGTATTAAATATTTTCACGGAAGGTCGTGATGGTCGCCGTTACGAAAACATAGACGCCATAAAGCAAAAATTAATAACTAACAATTTAGAGTTAAATTCTTCACGAATATTATATAGGAATGTAGCCTGAAGTTCCAGCTTTGCAATGAAATTATAAAAGTTCACAAATTAGTTACACAAATTGAGTAATTAATAATTTTTCATTGCCAGGGCCATTTTATCCTTTTCTAACCTCACTCTGTCCTTGTCTACCACGTGACCAGCTCGTCGACGACCTCCTTGCCTATCCTATATTCCTATCACTTTTGGAGCATTTGGAGCCAAATAATAGATGGCGCTGATCGAAACTACCGAATGAAAAACCACGTGACCCGTTGGGCGGGAGAAATAAAACAATAAAAGGACATAAATAATTATAACACATTTTTCTTCGTTTTTTTTACTCTCTTAAAAGCCAGACGAACATGAAGTCACAGATGAAGATGCGTTGTTTTATTCTTGGTAAAAAGAAAACGAAACTTCAATGGTTATATGTTAAAGTACTTTTTATTCACTTTGAAAGTTTCACATATATATGTTAATTATTAACGACATAATAAATAATGACAAATAGACATTAGAATCTGAGTAGATGTCCGTATCACGGGCCGTTGCGAGGAAAAGATGTTTCGTAATAAATATCACGTAACAATTATCATTACAATGACCATATATATATGTAACAATATTTATAGATATATACACACTACTGCAAATAATTCTATTTAAATAAAAGAGTTATCATAATAATTATAGATATTGGTTTATCTTGCATCTATCTTTCTTATCATGCATCTCCTCGGCTTTCTCTCGTGCTAAACCTGATAAGGAGTTCTTTATTCCCTATTCATTTTTCTCTATATCTTTATCATCTTCATCATCATCTATTTTATAATTTTCTACTTTTTTCGGTTCTTTTTTTGCATCTCTTAATTTATTTTTTATCCTTTCCTTTATTGCTCTGAAAATATAAATATAAGACAGTCAATAAAAATTCCTACTTTCTATAACATGGTTATAATGTAAGCAATAAACTAACTCCTTTTCTTCCTTTATAACTTATGATTCTTCTCAGGTTTTTACTTCCTCGTCAATTTCCCAATCGTTAATACAGTTTTCCTTCCTTTCTTTATTTGCAAGTTCAGGTAGTACAACAGCTGGTTATGAGCTTAATTCTGAATCAGTTAAATGATCACGAGATGAAATGCCCTGATCAATAAACTTTTTATTTAATATCACAGATTCTTCTTCATCTTCAACTGCTTCTTCAACAAATGATAAAAGATTGAAATCTCTGTAACAAAATTTTTCATTGCAAAGAATAATGCTATCAGTAACTAAACTAGTATCATCAATTAAACCACTCACTAACTAAAATCATATATGTTTGCAGAATTTAGATAGTAATTAGTAACTATAAGTAACTAATTACTATCTAAATTCTGCAAACATACATGATTTTTACTTTACTACTGCTGTTTTAGTTTTTAAACTGTCCTTAACTTCTTCACTTTCTTGTACTATTATTCTTGGTATAATATCAGAAAATGGATTGTTCAATATTTAAGTTTTTCTTATTTTTAGAGGATAAAATGGCCTAACATTCTACAAAGAAGGGAAAATATTATATTTATATCAATTCTTGATATATTTTCTTGTAAACATTAAATTTACCTCATCTACAAGTGCTTCTTCAAGTTCAAGCATGTTGTATATAGTTTCTCCAGTAACCTTACAAAAGATTGTATGTTTATTCTGCAATTCCAATGTATAACCAAGAGTAAAGAAGAATTGGGAACTATTGTCATCTTCTCCAGCATTAGCCATAGCAATTAAACCTCGTACACAGGAACGTAATCTTGTATGAAAATCGTCCTAAAACATATATATCCAATAATTATCTTTGTATAAGAAAGGAATTTATTTTATTTTTAAATATAGTCTCACTTTAAATGGTTCTTCAAATATGCATTTATTACCTTTTCCTGTACCTGTGAGATCATTTACTCTTCTCACTGCTATCATTCGAACCTCTCTTTTCTTTATATATCTCAACTCCATCATTCTGAAATATAACACATTAATGCTGGTCAACAACATTTTTCTATGTAAGAGCTTACATTTCTTTTTCCACATTTATCATTTATCAACATTCAGACTCTATATTCAATTTATCTTTACCTTTCCTAATTATTACCAAGTGCTCATTCTCCATCTCTTCAACGATCCTTATATTTGCATGTCAATGCCACACATCCTTCTCTGTTGATACATATGTTATCCCTTTCCTGTTTCTTGATTCGACATAACATTTCCTCTTCTCACTGCTTTTATTCGAACTTCTCTTTTTTCTTTTCTCTCTCAGCTTCATCATTCTGAAATATAACACATTAACGATGATCAGTGACTTTGCCCATGGATATCAATATTTATTCAGATCAAGAACACAACATACCTTTCAATCTCAATGTATTCTCTATATCTTGTTATAAGAGGCCAACATTCTAAATTAATTTTATACCCTTTTGTCTGTCTACACCATCTCCCTTTTCTGAATCTTTAATTGATCATTAAATATTTTTGTCTTGATGATATATATCATACCATACATGTTTCTATTACTGCTTCAATCTTTTCTGGCTATAAAAAATAATTCTTGGAACCTAATGGCTCTACGCTGGTAATATTTCACGAGTCCAATATTTTCCTGTTGTACGTGCCCATTTACTTCACTTTGTATTTTTACAACCACACTCTCCAATCACTAATAAAAGATGGCTTATGTCTCACGTTATTTATTTGCAATTGAAAGTTATGCTAGTACAAACACTTACATTCTTTTGATTACTGAATTTCTGTGATTAATTTATGAACTTTTATAATTGCGTTGAAATAACCTATATTTGCAGACTTTTCATGTGCCAGATAAAGAAGCGAACGCTGATTGTCTAATTAGAACCACTGTTTGGGCTGCACTTATTAACGAATGTAGAAAACTTTATGGGGTTTTGAAATGAACAAAAGAAACGGAAGAGAATGTGTATTAGTTATTTATGCCGTTTTATTGTTTACTTTATTCCGCCCTTCACGTAATATGATTTTAAGCTCTCTCCTGGTGCCATCTGTGCTCATCTTACCGAACCTGAGGTTCCAGTCTAAACTCATAATATATTTTAATAAATCAAATCGGCAGTGGAAAATTCACTAATTACTCAATATCTGTGATTAATTTATGAACTTTTATAATTGCATCGTAAAGCCAGATCCTTCAAGAACTTTCCAATATATTTTTCGATATAAATTTGTCCCTAATTAATTAATTATTAATAATTATTCTACGAAATGTTTGAATTATTGCCGAAGATCGCCGAAGACGCCATTGGTTTTTCATTAATTACTATCCTTTACGCAATTAATTTATGAATCTTTATGCACTCATTATAAAGACAATATTCTTGCAAGTCTTCTCATATCACTTTTGTTCACATTTTGATTCTAGTTTCGGTGAGTATTAAATATTTTCACGGAAGGTCGTGATGGTCGCCGTTACGAAAACATAGACGCCATAAAGCAAAAATTAATAACTAACAATTTAGAGTTAAATTCTTCACGAATATTATATAGGAATGTAGCCTGAAGTTCCAGCTTTGCAATGAAATTATAAAAGTTCACAAACTGTTTACTAAAATTGAGTAATTAATAATTCTTCACTGCCGGGGCCATTCTAT